AGCCTCTCAGTCAGGACTCTCTAAGTCTTTTCCTTTCCTGCGCACGAGCCTCCCAACCATGACTCTTAAAAACCACCGCTTCACGGGCAGGGCCCTGTGCTGACGCCCCATTTCCAAATGCGTGAACAGAAATGAAAATGAGATAAAAACATTTTCTTTTTCTTTAAAAGGTAAAAGTTTCACATTATTTAATGCAACCCAGCTCCCTGGGGGAAAGTAGTGATGAGAGAAAGAAAGGAAAGGAACGAAGACACCACAGAAAATCACATCAAATTGGAAGCAGACAAAGGCAGCCAGAACTATCTTATTTATTATAAAGATACACCGTGAAGAACAAACCTGACTGTATACCGCAGCCGGTAATGGGACATGCCAAAATGTACAGTACTATACATAAAAGTGCATTGTCACAACAGAGTAACAAACGTGTGTGTTTTCTTCCAGAACTGTAAAAGCATTCCCCTTGATTCTCGCCTCAGAGACGAGGGAATGTGTGGTGAGAGGCAGCACAGAGCATGGGCGACACGGTGGCAGTCAGCAGCACGCGAGCGGGGGCTGGATGGGGGATGGGAGGACACGGGGTGGCGGGGCGGCGAGGAAGGCACAATCACGTCTACGAGGAGAACGAGACAGTCCGATGACAGGCGAGGATGCAAGACGGGACACTACTGAGCACCGAGGCACAGGAATGCGGGGCCGGAGAAGCCGGGGGAGAGGAAGTTTCCAAACACTCAGGTGGGCAGCAGGAACCGGGAGGAGGAGGTGGGCGGGGGGGACCGCGGGGCAACGGTACAAGAGCAAGGCTAAGACTCCTCTAAAATAGAAAGGCACTTTCACATGTACATACTACAGATGTACACTGACACCATTAGGTAACAGTCACAAGCAGGAAGCTATCAGTACTGCAATTGCTCAAACCGACAGGAAAGGACCATACTGATTTAAATACGTGGGCAGGAGTCACCCTTAAGTACGCAGGTAAATAGCAGTCTCTCCTGTCACACAGCCACTTACTATACTTTAAATATCTATAATAACCATCACACTACACATTGAACTTGGATGAATGCTCTAAGGGGGGCATTCACAAATGCACGGTTTATATATTTTCTTTTACTAAATAGTTTCTAAGATAAGCATTATGGATCCCAGTACAATTAAACATACAAAATTCCTTACGTAATTTAAAGATACAGGTATCCATCTCGATTATACCACATAGATTATTTATTTATTTTTTAAAGAAAGTATACTAGGGTAAGTGAAAGCTCAAATTCCAGTTTGTTTTATCAATCGGACAAAGCTTTGCTAAAGTCACCCTGCACCAAGCTTGACACTCCAGCCCAGCTGGAGGTTGTGTTCTCAGCTCAGGGGGTGGTCTGGAGTAGGGGGCTCTATTTACACACGGTGGAGCCTTCAGTTCTAAGCTGCTCTGTGTCTCAGGGTCTCTGCGGTGGATATTCGAAAGCAAGACTGAGTCCCAAGCCCATTTCCTGCATTCGTGGCCTCTCACTGTGGTGGTCAGGAATAAATGAGTGTCATCCCAAATCTGAAGTCTTCTAGCTCCACTTCAACAGACCCACAGGCTCTTTAACTTTGGATTTCAGAGGCTATAATGATCAGATTAAAATTTCTTCAGTTTGTAGACTCTAGAAGCTATGTCATCCCTAACTGCTAAGGGCACCACTACTAACCCACCTCCTTTTTTCTTTTCTTTAAATTATAAACCCATTTTGGGAATAACAAAAGTTGCAAACATGGAAAACTCTTAACTGATACACTTTGATACTTGGAGCTCTATAGCCATTGATAACTGTTCATGACCATTGCAGATTGAGTGGGACCCTGCTATAAAGTATTCTACAGATGGCTCAAGGGGCACCAAAGCCAGACTGCATTGTGCGAAGATGTGTAAAATTGATGAACAATGGTGGCGACACTGAACATGAAGATAGAGCTCTACAAAGTGCCACTCAACAGGTTGAAACAGTTTACATGACACTTATCAGAAACTGTGTACTGAGCAGCTTCCTCTCTATCCTAACAATCCACTCCAAAACCCTCAACCCAATTCTAAAGGCTGACTTGGCAAATCCACTTCATTGAGTTCTATGGATGCGACACGAACATACAGTTATATCAGCTATGAATACATATTCTTGTGTAAGTGGAGTCAGGTAATCTTTGTAGAACCATCATTTACCCATCATCAAAATGACCCCCACCCCAAACTGCACATGAAGACTGATAAGATCCTTGAAGCTGGGACAGAATGTCTCAAGGTCTCATTTTCTTTCCTCTCCCCTTTCCCTCTGCGTGCTGCAGCCGTGGCTGTAAAGAAGGCCGTGTACCAGGTGAACCTTCTCAGCTGCAGCAGCTTTTAATGGGCTTTACTGGGTGTTATTGTGGCTCCTCTGGGACGTGGCCACCCTGTCTTATCCCTGGAATCTAAAGACTTTTACTCAACAAAGAATAGGTGAGTCCTTACTCTAAGGTCATACCCTTCACTTGGAATTGAAAAAAAAGTCTCAAGGTGAAAACGGAAGTACAGGGAGAAACGATGGACACAGGTAAGCTAAGGAAGTGATGGGAGAGGAGCTGTCTCCTGAAAGAAGGCACAGCCTCGAGGCTCTGAGGGTCTGCAGCAGCACGTCCCCGGCTAGCCAAGGCAGCAGAGTCCTGATTGGAAGGGAGAAAGGCGATCCTTGGTCCACCCTAGGTAGAAACACCCAAGAAAGGAGACACGGGGAGGATTGCCGGAGAGAAGCATGAAGCAACGAGCTGGCAGGAGTAAGGTCTGAAAAGCTAAGGCTAAAGCTCGTAAAAGACATTTAAAAGGTAAATTCAAAACACTTCTGCCCTTTCCACGCCATCTTGATAATGTCTTACTCTTCCATCACAGAAGGCAAATAGTTTTTAAGAATCTTTATTATTTTAAAGAACTGGGAGATTATTTAGGAAAGTTTCAACTTCCTAGGGATGTGGGAGGTCTGTTTAAAAGGGTGAGTGCTATTCAAAGCTCAGTCTCCACTGGTCTCCATGCTGTCCAAAGGTGCTGAAGGACCACTAACGCTCAGGAGAAGCGGCGAGGGGTTGGACAGGGTGCTTGGCTGGGCCTGTTTTTCAAGATGGGAAAAAAGGATGGTTCTGAAGATTCAGAGGTTTGAAAGTTTACCGTTCTTGGAAATACTTGAGAAAAAAAAAAATCACTATTCATTTGTGAAATTAGGCCATAGGCAAGCAACCAGCAGTGTGACTTTGAAAGGTAACAGTGTCTCCTTACTTTAATCTCTTCCTGTAATAGGATGATTAGAATGGCAAACTGAGGTAGAGATCAAGGTAATGATCTTGATTTTAGTACAGATCCTGATTGTGTCTGCATAACGCATTCAACCAATGGGCTGATGAATTTAAATCCACACTCCGTAACTCTTAGGGGGGCATGCAATTGGCTGAAGTTTGAAACCAGTTTGAAACCAAACCTAGAAGGAAACCAAGGGTGGTCCAAAGGGGTTAGTTCTGGGGCATCCATTTTTCTTAAAAAAAGAACAGCTCTTCATTAGGAAGATCAATGATAAGGTAGAAAAAATGCTCCTAGGCCTACAGATGATATCAGGTGCTGCTGGTAGGACAATGGGGATTTGTACCTTAGTAAAAACAAGTGAATTCAAAGCAAATTTTTTAAGATGGGGGAAAATATAGTATAAATACAGGTTAAAGAAAAATTATCTCTGTGCTAGGATGCCAGAGAAGGAGGGTCCCTAACTGATAGCTTAGCTGACATATTTGAGTTATATAGAGGCCACATACCCAAAAAAAAAAAAAGGGAGTAGGAGAGAAAGAGAAACAAAGTCCTGTGCAAAACTGGGTGGAAAACGTCGTGGAACATCGAGGTAATCTCACGTTGGCCCAGCAGGGCTCTTACTCAAGTACCATAGCCAGTTCTGGGTTGGTGGCTCAAAGACAAATGGAGATGACAGTTGGAATTTGAAATTTAACACCATCGGGCCTTGTGGCATGTTTAAAGAAACCAAAGTAATTTAGCCAGAAGAGAATGCTGAGTGAACCAAGCACTCGGGTGCTACTTGCTTTCTCTATTTCCACAGGGGAGAACACAGGGATTTAGGGGAGATAGAAATATTTTCCAGGCAGTTACTGAACAACAAACCTTGGCAGGGGTTTGTAGAGAAGTGTAACCAGAAAGTCTTTAAAATTAGACTGTTCTAGTCTTTTGTAAATGCAGGGGAGGGACTTACAAATCTCCCAGGCCTGATCATGCTCATGGAAGGAGTAACATCGATAGCTTTGGAGATCGTATTGCCCTCTGCTCTCCCTGGTTTAGCTGAAGCAATAACTGCAGAGGTTCTACCCCCTTCTACTGAGTATTTAACCAGAGAAATGATTGTTATGAAAGAGGCAATCATCCAACGCACTCAAGCCGTGGGCCGAAGGTCCCACTGGGAACATCCCACGGTGACAATTGCAAGCCTTGAGCAGGAGCTGGACCTCTGCTCTACACAGAATCAGAGGTGCTCACTGTCAGCTACCAAGCAAGGCCATTATCACTTTTGGCCCTTACCCCAAGTGCCACAGACCAACACTGGTTATGAGACCAATGAGACCTGGAATGCGGATTCTCCTGCCTTCGGATCAAGACATTTCCGACTCACCTGGGCTACACTAAATCTGAAGTACTGTACAACGCAGAGAGCAGTGTTGCCTTCATTACAAGTGGTGCAGCATTGGATTTTCAAGTAAGTCTAAGTGTTTCTATTGTCTTTAAAATGACATAAGATATGTCCAGTTATTAAAAAAAATTACAAAATACAAATGCCCGTGTCAATTTAGCTAGTCTCAGACATTACATTCGACAACATAGAAAAGCCAAAGATCTCCAGTTATAAGCACAAAACTAAGGAAAGTTATGGATCGTTGACTTTTGTCACTAATCCGTTTTCTTTTTTAAATCACCTCCCTTTATGACCTTGCTCAGCTGGTTTTTACATCGTGCAAGACTTGTCTGTTGGACCCTGGGAAGGCGGGGCGGGTCCTATGGTGGGGTTTGTTTTTGGAAGAACAGCAGGTTTCGGCCTGAGGGCTGGGGGCTTCAGCTGTACGCCCATTCTGGGTGCCACCATAGGCTTGAAAGTACTCATTGTGTCACTGGAGGAGCTAGTGCTACGTCGAATCTGAGGCTCAGAGCTCCTGAGAGTGACGTTGTGCAAAGGACTGAGAGATTCCGTGGAAGTGGCAGGGATGGGAGAGTTTTTCACTTGTTCCAAGGTATCCAGCACCACGTCGGGGGCGTGCTTTGCTGTACTCTGTCTCTCCAGTTCTCGTAGTTCACTCAAAGCGGTGTTCATCGTCTCTTCAATATCCTGTTGAAAAATAATCAGAAAGAAAGAACAGACTGATAACTAACACTAATGTACAGAAACCCACATACTTCATTGCAAAGCAAATAGGCCCACAAAGAGTACGAATATTTTAACTTTATAGTCAGCAGAGTGTATAAACATAGTGCTGTCTCGCACAATTATTTTGACTCTTGGTTCAGGAGACTGAGATGTAGTGGCTCACGGAGCCACTTATCAAATGATTGCCCTTCTAGGGCTCTAGGTTGCTTTCTGGTAGTCTTTGCCTTGCATGCTGACTTATTGATATAGAATTCTATTTCAACTTATGGTAAAAGTTTAAATTTAGATACTGTAACAATTTCTCAAAAAATAAATATGAATAGGAATAAAAAAATCAGGCTTCATTCACTCATTCAACAAATAATTTTTGAGTACTTATTATACACTTAGCCAACTCCTAGAAGTTCTTCAAAATTCAGCTTTAGCCTTCCCTTGATGTGACTGTCCAGTGGATCTCAATAAATGTGGTACCTCCCCTTAGAGGGTATTTTTGTAATACGGTGTGTATGCGTATTTTTTAATGTCATAATAATGACATTGCATTATTGGCAGTTGGTGGGTGGGTGTCAGACATATTAGATATCTTGCAAGTGCCCTGGAGAGTTTAATGCAATGAATTGTCCTGTATCTTGTTCAACTTTTGAATGTCCTCCAGACATCTGTATAGGGGAAAACTCTGTTTATAATAACCTGAGTTTATAAACTGAGTTATAAACCTGAGTTATTAACTCAGGTTATTATAAAAAGTTAGTTATGTAAAAAGAGTTAGTTAGAACCTAACTCTGTTTTAAATATATAAATACAAAATATTTTTTTCATGGTGTTAAATTTTCCAGAAATATAGCTACCATATAAGTTATTCTTTGCTTTGATTGGAACTGTATGACCAAGGGTTGTCCACCATTTTGGAAAAAACTCTATTACTAATGGGAACACCTTTCACCTACACATATAATTTCCATAAATGCAACAGTTATGGAAATTATACATGTAGGTGAAACCATTTCACTACTTCATTTGTCTTCTAATGTAGTCAATAATTAACTGAAATACATTTGTTTCAATACTTATTTCCTTTTATTTTTCTTTTATATTTCGTTTAGAACTTTATATATTTTTCAAATTAGATATATCATCAATCAATTTACTTCAGTTAGTAAAGGGGGAGTTACAATATATTTGTTTCAAAACAGTAGAGCGTGCTCCATTGATGAATGAAGGGATAAACAAAATGTGGTATATAAATACAATTGAATATCATTCAGCCTTAAACAGGTAACGATTCCTGTCACATGATACTAGATGTGTGAACCTTGAAGACACTATGCTAAATGAAACAAGCCAGTTATAAAAAGACAAATACTGTATGATTCTACTTATATGCAGTATAAGTAGTCAAATTCATACAAACAAAAAGCAGAATGATGGTTGCCCAGGGTCAGAGGAGGGGGAAACGGGGAATTGTTTAATGTATAGAAAGTTTCAGTTTTTTTCAAGATAAAAAAGTTCTGGAGAGCTGTTTCAAAACAATGTGAATGTACCTTATTGAACCATTTAAAAATGGTTGAGATGGTAAATTTGGTTATATGATTTTTATCACACACACGAAAAAACAATTGTTGGGTGAGATGGTGGGGAGAACCCCCACCCTGGTCTGGATGAAATATCTCTTCTCTGCCTTCCTGGGCCCCTTCCCCTCACCTGGAGCACCGCCCTCCCAGCACTGCACAACAGTCATTGATTTCCGTACCCATCTCCCCCACTGGATAGTAAGCACTTTGAGGCAGCGGCTACTGTTTATCTTTGTGTCCACAAAGCCTAGCTTGAGACCTGGCATATAGTAAGTGCTCGAGAAAGATTTGCTAAATGAATAATCCAAGAACTGATATTAAATCACAGTCTCCAATAATGCATAAACCAAGACATGATGATCACATATGGACGCTGTCTTCTTTTTAAAATCTCCATCAGAGATTCCATTGATTTGTTTAATGATAGAATTTGCATGCTTTTTGTATGAACACTGCGACGGCGTGCTTCCTTGTCCTCATGGGAAAATCTGAAGACTAGAGATGGAAAGATAAACAAAGGACCAAGCTGGAAGCCATTTTGTGTGGATGACATCACTTTTCAAGTGATTACTTTCACATGTGATTTCCATTTGCTGCCAAACATATGGATCTGCTTTTTTACAAGTATTTACCTCTGAGAAAATGTGCAGAGCTTGGTTATCTTGTTGGGTTTTTGTTTTCCTAATGCACAATAAAAAAATTTGCCTGGTTCTAACAAAAGGGTTAAACAGACCTTATTATGCCTTTCCACCCCCAAGCACCTAAATCCCTGTCTATTTAACCCAAATCATGTTTCACCTGATTACAAGTAGTGATATTATAAGTTTCTCAAGTCATTAAATTCAGTTATAGTAAAATATCACTGGCTCTACATATGCCTCAAAGGGCTTTGCAAAGCACTTTAAGTAGAAGAAAACAAAACAGTCAAAAGCCTTTCTGATTGTTGCTGAGAAATTGTTGTCCATTTAAATTGGTTTAATCTTTTTAAAAACACATCACACTTCTCACACAATCTAATTTGCTATCTAAAATTCTTTTTAGTTAGGACACTCAAAGTAGCTTGGAAATTTGTCATATCAGGGTGGGTTTCCTTGGGTGCTTTTTATTAAAAATAATCCATCTTTAATACTTCCTCATGTTTGTTTCATTCATTTCTTATTCACTCTTTTTTTTGGATCTATTTAGTTTTTAAACTTCAGTGATAGCTGGAAGGTGCTTTAGATGATTCAAATGGCAAGCCCTGAATCTATTTACCTCCTCTATTATTGTCTATAAACATATTTTCTGATGGCCTACACTGTGAGAAGAACCAGAGGGAATGGTAGAACAATGGGCAAATTTATTAATATTGTTTTACTTTGTAATTCCGATCATTAGAAAAAAACGACACAGCCCCTCTCTGCAGTCACTGTTGGGAAGTGCAGACTCAAATGTGCTCAGGAGGTACACGGGATACAGACTTGCTATTCTTCAAATGGCCTATTATCGATAACACTGCTTATTGACTATTCCATCATTTCCTAAGTTGAGAAAGTGTCATCTTTATAGTACAAAGTAGTCTCTTCTTTATCTGTGGTCTCACTTTCCACGTTTTCAATTACCCGTGGTCAACTGTGGTCTGAAAATATTACCTACAATAAGGTAGTTTGAGAAAGAGACCACATTCACATAACTCTTATTACAGTATATTTTTGAAATTATTCTTCCTTAAAATTAGTTATCATTGTTAATCTCTTATGGTGTCTAATTTATAAATTAAACTTTATCATAGGTTATGTACGTACAGGAAACAGCATATACAGGGTTTGGTGCTATCTGTGGTTTCAGGCACTCACTGGGGATCTTGAACCGTATCCCCCATGGATAATGGGGGAATACTGTACTAAAATTTTTTCTGTGTCTGGATTCTCCATTCTGTTCCATCAATTGGTCTGTTTTACTAGCTTTAGAATGCATTTAGGATCTGGTAGGGCTAGACTTTCTTCATTATTCTTCTTTTTCGAAATTTTCCTGGTTATTCCCCAATGATGGGCTTGAATGTCCTGGGTCCTGTGTTTCTGCCACGTCTGTTTAAATCAATATGAACCTCATCTGCTTGGGTCCTCCCAGTAACAAATGGTTCCTCAAAAGAGACTCACAGCTAGGCCTTAACAAATGGGCTCATTTCCTTTCCGTTTTCTTACTTGGTTCGATACAAAAACATAGCTACAGAAAGTAAATACTTCATACCCTCTTCGCCATACCCAGGAGCTTAAAATGCAACATTCGATTAAAAGCACTGTACCTGAGCAATGGTCTCTGGGTCCAGCGGCTTGTGGTCATTGAAGCCCGTGTACTGCCCTGACGATGTGGACCTTCTAATAGGAGGGCTGTCGATCTTCTTGAGGGAGTCGTGCCGGCTAATGTTGGTCAGGCTGCCGTGGCCGGGCCGGCGCCTCCTCTCAGGACTGTCATTGTTGAGGCCACGGTTCTGCAGCAGGCCCCGGGGGTGACTGGCCAGGCTTGGGGACCCCAGGTCAACTGAGGAGTTGGACAGGGCATGTGGGGGGTGAAGGGGGCAATGGCCATCACTGGTCCTGCCAGGACGCCTTACTGGAGGGGGTGGCTCTCCTCTTTTTCTTTGTCTAGATGGCCACAGAAAGATAGAGAGAAAATAGCTTATTAGTTGGGTAATACTGTGAGGCTGAGTTTATTATTTATTTGTTTTTATTTTTTCTTAGAAACGGGGTCTCACTTTGTCACCCAGGCTAGACTGCAGTGGTGCCATTATAGCTCACTGTGACCTTGAACTCCTGGCCTCAAGCACCCCTCCTGCCTCGGCCTCCCAAAGTGCTGGCATTATAGGCATGAGCCACTGTGTCCAGCCGGAAGTAGAGGTTTAGAAGCCTGATTACCAGACTCTACTTACCTGGCTAAATAGCCATCAGAATGGCGGTCTGTTGGGGAGTTCATGTCCTTGGATGAGGACTTGTCTTCAGTGACTGGCCCACTACTGGCCTCACTGTCAGCTTTTTGGCTCAGAGTGTCTGAAAACGTGTCATCCCTAAAACAGCAAAAGTCAAGAATGAGGGTCTTTTGCTAGATGAGTGGAGACAAAAAATAAGTGATGGTATTTATGCATGTAAGTCTTTCTTTTACTAATATAATTTTTTTCTTTTCATTATAAAAACAATACAATTTCATTGTAGGTAAATTGGAAATTTCAGTTATTCTCTACTAAATAGAGAAATAATAATCACCCCTAATATAACGTCCAGAGACAACTACTATTAGAATTTTAGGAAATATCCTTCTACACCTTTTTTCCTATGCCTGGGATACATATCTATGAGTGTGTACATACATATGCATAGTATTATATTTATACTACAGTCACGTGTCGCTTAAAGAGGATGTTCTGAGAATGAGTTGTTACGTGATTTTGCTGTTGTGTGAACATTACAAAGTGTACTTACATGAATCTAGAATGTACAGCCTACTACACACCCAGGCTGTATGGTATAGCCTATTGCTCCTAGGCTATAAACCTGTGCAGCATGTTACTGTACTAAATACTGTAGGTGATTATAACACAATGGTAAGTATTTGTGTATCTAAACATAGAATAGGTACAGTAAAAATACAGTATTATAATCTTATGGGACCACTCTTGTATATGTAGTTTATTGTTGACTGAAACACCATTATTGGTACATGACTATATACTTATATGTATTTATTTTATATATTTTAAATATATAGTTTATATAAAATATATTTATTTATATTTATTTTATTTTATTTTTTTTGGAGACAGAGTCTCACTCTGTTGCCTGGACTAGAGTGCCATGGCGTCAGCCTAGCTCACAGCAACCTCAAACTCCTGGGCTCAAGCAATCCTCTGCCTTAGCTTCCCGAATAGCTGGGACTACAGGCATGCGCCGCCATGCCCAGCTAATTTTTTCTATATATTTTTAGCTGTCCAAGTAATTTCTTTCTATTTTTTAGTAGAGACGGGGGTCTCACTCTTACTCAGGCTGGTCTTGAACTCCTGAGCTCAAACGATCCACCTGCCTCGGCCTCCCAGAGTGCTAGGATTATAGGCGTGAGCTGCTGCACCTGGTCAATTTATATTTAGATACTTTAGATAAATGACTACATGTCTATGTACACACATATAACATTTCTTGGATTCTAAGCTACACATTTTAACATTTCTAAAATTAAGCTGAATCATTTAGTTACTATATGTTTTGTGTGGTACATGTCTCTTTTCCTTGAAATACTACTTTTAAATTGGCAATGTATTATGAAATACTATACTCAGAAAATAGGGATTATATTGTACATATTATTTTGTAATGTTTCTTTCATTTAATGTATTATGACCATCTTCCCATGTCTTTGAATATTTTTGAAATTACAGTTTTCTCCTCAGCAAAATTAAAAAGAAAAGTGTAGAGATGATTCCCTTAGATTTTAGGTGAGTATCCTCCTGCTTGGGAATCTGGAATTGAAACAGGAGACAGGCATCAAGAGACGAGCACTGCTGTTTTTGGAATTACCAGCATCACTTAGGATCTTAAAGCCATTCTCGGCACAGGCTATTTTTCTAAGAATCTGAAAGCTTCAAAAGATGTCCCCCACTAGTTCTTGTTCCAAACCTCTTGGTCCTGAAGGACTGTTAGCAAAGAGCCACTGTGAAGAACTGTACCCAGTTTGGAAGTTTTATCTCTGGATTCCCTTTGCTCCTTTCTCACGAGACCACAGTCGGTTTAAGAACAATGGCTGGAGTCCTCTATTGGGAGCACTCGGGCAATCAGCGTTGAGACTACTCACATATCCTGCACCACTATATACTGGTGGGGCACAAGCCCGTCAAGCCCGTTGTGCCTGCCTTCCCACCAGTCCTCGGACGCGCGGTGATACAGCAGCAGGGAGGCACCCTTCTTGAAGGACAGTTCTCTGGCAGAACGCCCCACATAGTCAAACTTGGCTATTGCTTCGATTGGCTCACATTCTACAAAGAACACACCAGAAAACAGAGACAAACAAGGTTGTTAGGAAGGCGTGATACACTATCTGAAAAGGTCTACATGAAGTTTAAGAAATAAACAAGGCCATTTTCATATGCAGACTGATCAGAGTAATCAACCAATCACCAAGGCAGATGAAAACAGAGGTTGTTTTAAAAGACATAGAAAAACATTCTTTTGCTGTCATCAATTTTTCAGGCAAAGAAAAATCTGAACATTGGATCTCAATTTCCATAGCCTCTTACTAGAGATATGACAGTCTAATAAAGAATATTTTAAACTTTGCGATATGATACATAAAATCTCTCCTTGTGTTACAATATCCTCCACAATTGCTACAACATTATTTGACATTGATGGATGACATTGACGGAGTTTCCTTGCAACATGTTTATACCATTTATAACATGGAAAAAAACTACTATCCCAGAACACTAGGAAGTTCATGCTTTATTAGCTGATTTAAAAAAAAAAATCAAGGCCGGGCGTAGTGGCTCACACTTGTAATCCTAGCACTCTGGGAGGCCGAGGCGGGCGGATTGTTTGAGCTCAGGAGTTCGAAACCAGCCTGAGCAAGAGCGAGACCCCGTCTCTACTAAAAATAGAAAGAAATTAATTGGACAACTAAAAATATATAGAGAAATTAGCCGGGCATGGTGGCGCATGCCTGTAGTCCCAGCTACTTGGGAGGCTGAAGCAGGAGGATTGCTTGAGCCCAGGAGTTTGAGGTTGCTGTGAGCTAGGCTGACGCCACGGCATGCACTCTAGCCTGGGCAAAAGAGTGAGACTCTGTCTCAAAAAAAAAAAAAAAAAAAAATCAAGTAAAATCACCGTAATAAATACTATTTGAATACATTTAATTTCTTCATATGCTTTTTTGGGTACTATAAAATCTTTAAACTACTACCAACAGTAATGACAACTTTTTCTGTAGTATTAGTAACAAATTTTGGATCTTGACTATGAAACGAGTATGTCTTAAACTGCCCTTTACCCAAATTAAAAAACCAGATTAGGCCAGGCGTGGTGGCTCATGCCTGTAATCCCAGCACTTTGGGAGGCTGAGGTGGTGAGGCCAGGAGTTCAAGACCAGCTTGGTTGACATAGTGAGACCCTGTCTCTACAAAAAATAAAAAAATTAGCTTGGCATTGTGGCCCGTGCCTTGAGAGGCTGAGGGAGGAGAATCGCTTGAGGCCAGGAGTCTGAGGCTGCAGTAAGCTATGATCACACCACTGCACTCCAGCCTGGGCAACTGAGTAAGACTCTGTCTCCAAAAAACCACATGAAAAAACAAGCCCCCCCGCCTGCCCTGCAAACACCAGATTAAGAGATTTGATTTTCTAGGGCTCAAAATATATTCCAGGGAATTATGGTGAATGAAAAAAGCCAATCTCAAAAAGTCACATACCATATAATTCCGTTTATATAGCAGTCTTCAAATGACATAATTATAGAGATGGAGAATAGATTAGTGGTTGCTAGAGGCTGGGGTGGGGGAGGGGATGGGGAAAGTGGCCATGGGTATAATGGGGAGCACAAAGGGTCCTTGTCATGGAACTGTTCATAACCTTGCTATGGTTGTGTGATGAAATCTGTATGTGCGATGAAACTGTATAGAACTAGGTAAACACACACACAAAGGAATATATGTAAAACTGGTGAAATATATAGTGAATGGATTGTATCATTCTATATTATGGTTTCATAACTGATGGAAACTGGGAAAAGGGTATATGAGATCTCTCCGTATTATTTCTTACAACTGCATGTGAGTCTACAATGATCTCAAAATAAAAAGTTAAAAAAAAAAAAAGATACCAAACTGTAGGCTTAGAACTGGAATTCAGCTCTGATCTAATTCTGACCACAAATATTGAAGGCAAACAAGAGGAACAAACTAAACTATAAGAGGTGCTTTTTTGTGATTCAGCTTATTGCAAAAGCCCCTCAATTTGAGGCCTTACGATCTTTCCTCCCCTCTCCCAGCAACACCTCATTCTCATCCCTGCTGTCAACCCGAAAGGGCCAGATTATTGAATTATATCTATGCAATGAACAACACCTCATTTGCTAAAAACTGAGCATGTATTACTTTCCAGATACTCTAGGATATATGCACACATATTAGATTAAAACCTGCCTATCTGTCAAAAATTTTTCAGGAAATTGTCTTCTATTTCCCTTGGTAACAAACCTCCCCATTTAAGAGTTTATTCTTTCCAAAGTTTACTGCAATATCTTCAATGTCTGTTGTGCTTATATGTGATAACTGCATAAGAACTTCTTGGAGAGACAGCTGGGCTTCTTTCTTACTTGATGAATTCAGAATTCTCTGGGACATTATAAGGCAAAAGCATAAAAACCAACAAACATATTGAAAAAGCTTAAGTGTTACCTCATATTAAGGACCTGGGTAAATTTCAGCTGAAGATTTTAAATAAAGACAAAGAAAAATGCCCCATCTTTATGCTAGTGGATAATATTTGAGATGAATGATATTTCATATTGCAGAATCACAATACTATAATCTGCAAGTAGGATATTTCTTAGCAAAGTAGGTGTAAGAATAATTTTTAAAACAGTAGCTTAAGTCCTTTAGCAATTGAGTACAAATTTTAGAACGTGTTAATACTCTAGTGTTCCCCCTAAAATTATAATTTATTAAAATAATATAAATAGCAGCTTTATTAAATATCTATGAGTCTGCCTCATAGAGGAGGGAATATAAATTTACATTTAAAGGGAATGACTTTATAGTTTGTTCTAAACTTGAAGATAAAGAATAAATCCTGGTTGACCTGAGATGACACACCAAAATTTGTACCCCAGTTCTTCCTGGGTACAAAAATAAACATGTCCATGGAGGAATGAAGACATGCTAATTTATGAAAAAGAACTTTATAACATATAATTTGCAAATTCATGTGTGAACACACCCACATATTTATATTTGGCTTTTGTAATAATCTTAAAAGATACCAGCACATGATATGGTATACAATCTACATCATGATGTCAAAGAGAAAGAAAGAGAGAATCATTCATGTTCTTTAATGCCATTCAACCATACGCTATCAATGTTGGCCAACGGCTCTTTAAGACTATTTAACAAAAATGTACATATTTTATTATAATTTCATAATCATGACTCTTTGATCGTCATCTCTTCTATCTCTTTGAAACAACTAACAGGATCATCAGACTTTGCTTATTTTATTCAAGTGTGGACAGGTTACGAAAGAATGACCAGATAAATCAGAAGAACATTTTATTGGTAATCCTAGTACATCAACTAGTAATTCTCAGCAATTTCATTATTATGATTATTATGATTCTTTCTATTATGATTATTATGATTCTTTCTACTCCCACGAGAGCCATGTCACAGTCAAGTGTCAATCAGTAAGCTACTTACACACATTTTAGTCTAGTCATTGGAGAGCAAATCAATGTCAGGGCACAGCACACCACGCCCCTTTCATACGGAGAGCCTCACAGTCCTCTGAGGTCCTGCGGGGACTTCTGAGATTGCTGCTATTGCTGATATCAATAACATAATACAAAGAGTGTAAGATGATCACTGAGTTTTCCTGCATGGCTATTATTTTGTGCAAAAGGGAAGAAAATTCAGCAGAACTGATTCTCTGACTGCCTGATGCTGTCAAGTCTTACATTTCCATTTCTTGTAATTTTATATAAAATGTTAGTATATCACATTTTCTCTTTGGGGCCTTCCTGTCACTGACACTTTTCCTCCTAGATCTGTTCCGTACTGCCCTTGCAGAGGATGGTTTTGTGCTGTGGCAGCCTGTCTTTTGGAAACAAAATCTGCTCTCTCTAGTGATAGCATGATAGAGGAAAGAAAATACAATACAGGGGTGATCAAAAAGATAATCTACACTCCAGTTAATTTAGTTACAGGACTTTGGAGGTTGGCTGTGGGCAAGAATATCTGTCCTTTGTGAGGAATGTTTTTCTTTCTAGCAAAATCAGGTGAACATGATCAAAATGTTATTTAAAACACAGAGCACTCAGCAAAGCTTCTCTCTTATAGTCAAGAGGTAAGAACAACTGATAGATGGTACGGTGGTAAGACTGTAAGTTGGGAAGAGAGATGGCTGGGGCTTTGTCCTGGCTTTTCTTGCCACGGGGGAAAGCAAGGAATCAGTTAAGAGAAGTCAGCAGCGAAAAACAAACAAACCACACAGAGAAACAAGGAAACCCAAGACAAAAGAAAAGATGGTGGCAGAGTAGGATTCAGAGATTTTCAAAAGTAACATCACAAAAATCGAAGCTCTTAATTTAAAGAATGTCTTCTAACTTAAGTTCAGAAAATGTCAATTCATCTTAACTTTTTAAAGGCACAAAGAAACTTTCTTCTTTAGCAGATGATGGACACTAGACACCCTAATTAACCTTCTGCTAAAAATCAATGAAAAATATTGTATTAAAAAATCCACAACCTTTGTAATTGCATTAATAAGCTATCAAGATAATAAGAAATACCACAGAACAAAAATTCAATGAAAACAGGAACCCAGAGAGGTAAAGTAGAACACATGAGTCAGATTTTGCCTTATGGGCATTTTCCTAGCCTGGTTAACTCAAGCTTTTAAGTTTCTCCACAAAAGCCTAAATCCAGGGCCTGGTCAGCATGAGCAATCTAAGGCTCCCCCCTCCTCCACCATCCCCAGAGAATCACATTCTCAGTTTCAGAGTGAACTTCATTCTAGTGTTCTAGAAGTTTCCAGAACACTGCTAATTCTTCTAGAACATCTAGTTCCAGAAATCTTCTCTCCCTATAACCCTCCATACCTCTCCATAGATTGTACCCATCTCCCTGAACCCTTCACCTCCCTTTAAGGAAATAATCTCTCTTAAACCTTGGAACAAATCATCTCTGAGAATCCCAATCACATTCCAGTTCTCAGTTGGGGTTGCCATTTAAATTTACAATAACTGGGTGCTCTGAAAAATCTCAAGCTAAAAATTCAATGTTGTCCCAGGCTGGTTGGGTCGTAGGCAGAAGTAAATGAAAACGCTCTCTGGAAGAACCTACCTTCAACTGAGCCTGAAGTGCCAAGAAACATGTAAAAAATTTATGAACACACTGGAAAATAAGACAATTAGTGAGAGCCAACAAAACAAATCTGGGAAGACATATTAGAATTATCAGTCACATAATTTCAAACACTGGAAAGGACTGATAATATAAGTAAAGAACAAGAGACTATAAAAAAAAATGGCCAAATAGCAGAAAGAATGCCCTGTACAACTTGTAGAAATAAAAAAAATAATTAAAATAAAAAATCAATGGATGTGTTTAAAGCAGATTAGTCACAGCTTAAGGAAAGAAGAAAATAATTTGTGCATACATCTAAAGTAGTACTAAGAGAAAACTGACAGCTTTATATTTATGTTAAAAAAATGTTAAAAATTAATGCTGAGCATTATATTTAAGAAGTTAGAAAAAGAAAGGAAATGGTCTCTATGGAGAAACACTAAAAGTTTATTGGGAGATATTAAGTAACTGAAAATATGTTCATGGAGTAGAAGATTAAATATTCTAAAAGATATCAATTCTCTCCATATTAATACATGTAGAATCAGTACAACTGCAATCAAAATCCTAACAGGTTTTTAGGAGTTTGTTTAAGAATTTGAAAAACCGAGCCTAAAATTTAAGTGGAACTGTAAAGGCCCAAGAATTTAGGACAAAATCTGAGGTCTTGTTTCGCCAACTGTGAAGATTTACAAAAGGTATCAAAATTAAGACAGTGGTGTAGGGATAGACAAGTAGACTAGTGGAAAGAACAGAGCCTGGGAAGAAATTCACACACAGAAGACATTTGATTTATGACAAAGATGTGGATCAGTGGAAAAAGGAAAATTAATGCCAGGACAATTATAACAATTATGTATCCACATGGAGAAAAAATGAACTGACCCCTACCTCACACCATACCCGAAATAAATTCCTGGTGGAACAAAGACCGAAGTGTGAAAAGCAAAACCTTAAAAGATTTAAAAGAGAGTATGGGACCAAAGAAGACATACAAATGGCCAACACGTATATGAAAAATGCTCAACAATCGTCAGGGAAATGCAAATCAAAACCACAAATGAGATATCACCTCACACCTGTTAGGCTGGCTATTATAGAAAACAAACAAAACAAAAAATAACAAAGTGTTGCCAAGGATGTGGAGAAACTGGAGCTCTTGTGCACTGTTGGTGGAATGCAAAATGGTGCAGCTGCTTTGGAAAATAATATAGAGGTTCCTCAAAATTTAAAAATAGAAATGCCATATGATCCAACAATCCCATTTCTGGGTATCCATCCAGAAGACTTGAAATCAGAATCTTAAAGAGAGATTAGCACTCCTATGTTCATTGCAGCACTACTCACAATAGCCAAGCTGTGGAAACAACCTAAATGTCCATGGACAGATGAATGGATAAAGAAAATGTCGTATATACATACAATGGAATACTATTCACATTTTAAAAAGAAGGAAATATTGTCACATGTGACAACATAGATAAACCTGGAGAACATTTTGCTAAGTGAAATAAGCCAGTCACAGAAAGACAAATATTGCATGAGTTTTCTTATATGAAGTAAATGAAATGGTCAAATTCATAGAATTAAAGGGTGGACTGGTGGTTGCCAGGGGCTGGGGGGAAGGAAAATGGGCAGTTACTAATCAATGGAATAAAGTTTCAGTCAAGTAAAGCGAGTCACCTCTAGAGATCTGCTGTATAACACTGTACCTTTAGTCAACAATAACATTTTGTGCACTTAAAAATTTGTTAAGAGGTTAGATCTCAGGTGAACTGGTCTTACCAAAATAAAACGAAATGAAGTAAGAGAATATGGGAGAATTATTTTCATTACCTCAGGGCACAAAAGAATTTCTTAAAGGAGATATAAAATAAAATACACATGAAGGAAAAGATTCATAAATTTAACTACTTTAAAATTAAGATCTTCTGTTTAGCAAAAGACATAAAAAAGCATACGAAAAGAAAAGCTACAGAGCAGGAGAAGATATTTGCAAACCATATACCCAAGAAAGAACCCCATCCAGACCCACAAAGAACTCTTACAAATCGAATAAGAAAAACTAAAGCCAAGACAAACCTAACTATACCAAACAAAAAGAACCCAGAAAACTCAACATAAAAATGGGCAAAAGACTTGATAGGAATTTCGAAAAGGAAGATATCTAAGCATACAAACATGCATACATCTTTACTAACCATGTCTTTCATTTTCTGTAGTCTGACATCTGGGGCATTGCTGACCTTGCAGGGACTGTCTTTCCAGGGTTAGCCAATTCCTAGAGGAAAAAACTTACCCACAAGCTTGTTTTTCAAATATAAACCAACCAACTGGAGCCAACAACCTCTCTTATCCGGCTCCGCCACTCCAGGCCACTATTACCCTGCTCTCATCACCCCAGGGCCAGGTAACAGACAACTCGGGATAGCCTCTAAGCCCCAGAGCCTGCTGAAATGATTCAGACTAGCCACCCCTGAACCCACTTACCCTGTCTCACTGTTCCTTCCTGTGGAAACTACAGTGAATTCCTCACTCTCCCTCTGCCTCCTGACAGATCCTGTGGCTTCCCCGTGTGGCCTCTGGTGCTGTGGCATGGCCCCTTCTCTTGGGAACTGTGGGTAACACTATCTTTTCAACAGTAGCTGTTTCCTGATCTGTTGGCCTAACTCTACCTCAAATTTCCCATTAATACACTATGTTTTAAAACAGCATCTTCATCAGTAACCAGAGAAGTACAAATTGAAATCATCACTGGATACCATTACACACTGACGATATTAGCAAAAATTAAAATATTTGATAGAATCAAGTGTTGATGAATATGTACAAATGGAAGGCTGATATGCTGCTGGTGCAAGTGTTATTATTACAACTATTTAATTGTATTCTTACAACCAATTGTTAATTGTATTATTACCATTGTATTATTACAACCATTTAGAAAAATAGTTTGGCAATATGTAGTCAAGTTGAAGACATGACTACTCCTAGGTATATATCCTAGAGAAACTCCTGTACATTTGTAGTAGGAGACATGTTCAAAATGTTCCTAACAGTACAGCACTGTTCTTAATATAAAAAGAAATACCTCACATTATTCATCAAGAATGGAACAGATATATACAATGGAATATTATTAATATATAGTGGTAAAATAAAACAATTATAACTGCATGGAAACTGTGTGGATAAATCTCAGGAACGTAATATTAGTAGAAAAACCTCATGAAAAATATATATAGTATGAGTCCATTTATAGAAAGACCAAGAAAATAGGAAAGGAAATAAGAAACTGTTTAAAACACAAACATACAGTGGTTTACCCCTGGGGGTTACGTAAGACAATGGGATCAGGGAAGTGCAAAAGTAATGATATGTCCTTTTTTCTTAAACTTGGTGGTGGTTCCAAGGGTTTTCATTGTAATATTTTTTATACCCTACACATATTTTATAAATATTCTTTTGGACCTACTGAATTTTTTTTTTATTTTTTTATTTTTTGAGACAAGGTCTCACTCTGTTGCCCAGGAGGAAGTGCAGTGGTGCAATCATAGCTCACTGCAGCCTCGAAGTCCTGGGCTCAAGTGATCCTCCCACCTCAGCCTCCTGAGTAGCTGGGATTACTGGCACATGTCACCATACTCAGCTAATTGTTTTTATTTTTTACATTTTTTGTAGAGACAGGGTCTTATTATGTTGCCCAGGCTGGTCTTGAACTCTTGGCCTCAAGTGATCCTCTTGCCTCAGCCTCCCAAAGTGCTGGGATTACAGGCGGGAGCCACTGTGCCTAGCCTCTGCTGAATTTTTAATACAAGCACTTGTTTATAATCAGGATATAAAGACAGGTTTTATAATAGCATGAGCACAGGGCATACCATCTTCGCTGGTGTGGGGCTCTGTCCCAGCATCTTGGTCCACTTCCTCCAATGTACCATGCTCACTGTATGGGCTGTCACTGTAGAATGGAAATGGAAATTCATATGAAATCAAAATGGAGAGACTCTGGAATGGCAAAAGAGTCACTGGATAGTCGGTCAATGGAACGCTGGCATTTCTGTTGATTACCTGGTCCTATGGGTGTATACATATATATATGTGCATTCATCTTTGACTAGGTTATTTTACAACTCGATAAAGACAGAAGTTAACTTGTAGAAAACTGATAGCATTACAAATAATTCTTATCCATAGAAATACAAATACAAATTGAATTCTGGTATAATTCTGTGCAATTAAGTATTGCCTTATGGATACACCCGTTTTTGCAAATTCATTTCACTATCCCTTTACTATATTATAAATTGATGGTTCTTTGACTTCTTCTTTGAACTGCTTGTAGCATCTGTACCAACTTTTCTTGACACACGTTCATTTTATATCTATATGAAAATCATGATTTTATCCCTTTTCAAAACTTATCCCTAACACCACCACCACCTCTCCTCAAATGTGTGCCAATAAATGGAATGCATTGGTCTCTAATACAAACCTGATGTCACCACAAAAACCCATTTATATTTGTGGTGTTGGGGGTTGAGGATAACTTCTATATTGTTATGTTTCTGCACAAAATGAGCAATACCCTTACAGAACATTATGTTTAAGAAGATGGACATAGTCAAGCTTATGTTTCTGGCTGCAAGACTATCATAGGGTTTTTACCCTGTTTGGAAAGAGTAGTGACCATAAAACGTCCTAGAATATGATACATCAAATGATATTGACTAGACGTCTACATACTTGCTTGTTGATAAAATGAACACGACAGCAGAGTTTACTGGTGTAGCCCTAATATTTGGAAATGCTAAACATACCTTTGACATTGGGTCCTAAAATAAATATGACTATGAAAATAAAATTACGTATTTCAGCAGCACTAAGTTTTATTCATTTACCTTCCCAGAGCCAGGCTCAATCAAGACTTTGTACATAATAAGTACTCAAGTAAATAATAAGTACTCAAGTAAATTTCTTTTTGTTTTTGAGTCAGAGTCTTCCTCTGTCATCCATGCTAGACCGCAGTGGCATCATGATAGCCCACTACAACCTCAAACTCCAGGGCTCAGGTCATTCTCCTGCTTCAGCCTCCCAAGTAGCTGGGACTACAGGCACACCCAAGTCCAGCTAATTTTTCTATTTTTTGTAGAGATGGGGTCTTGCTCTTGCTCAGGCTGGTCTCCAACTCCTGGCCTCAATCAATCCTACTGCTTCGGCCTCCCAAAGTGCTAGGATTACAGGCATGAGCCACCTCCCCTGGCCTCAGGTAAATATTTTTGAATTGAATTTCATGTGTAAAATTGCTGGATATACTATGGAACTTGAGGTTTTGAACTCCTGGCCTCAAGCGATCCTTCTGCCTTGGCCTCCCAAAGTGCTGGGATTACAGGCGTGAGCTACTGTGGCCAGCCCTCTTTGCTATTTTTTGTTGACATACAATAGTTGTATATATATTTGGGGTATATATGATATTTTGATACTTGTATATACTGTGTAATGATCAAATCAGGGTAAACAGAATATCTATCACCTCAAACATTTATCTTTTTTTTTTGGAGACAGGGTCTCTATCATCCATCCAGACTGGAGTGCAGTGGTGTTATCATAGCTCACTGCGGCCTTGAACTCTTAGGCTCAAGTAATCTTCCTGCCTCACCCTCAGCCTCCCAAGTAGCTGGGACTACAGGTGCACATCTGGCTTCAAATATTTTTCTTTGTGTTGGGAACATTATAATTCTTCTCTTCTAGCTATTTTGATATACACAATGAATTATTGTTAACTGTGAATTTTTTACTGAACTGTAGAATACTAGAGCTTATTCCTTCTGTGTTTTTATACCCTTGAACCAACATCTCTTCATCCTCTCCTCCTTCCCTTCCCAGCCTTGGGTAACTGCCATTCTCTCTACCTCCATGAGATCCACTTTTTTAGTTCTCACATATGAGTGAGAACGTGTGATATTTATCTTTTTGTGCCTGGCTTATTTCACTTACCATAATGAACTTCATTACTGGGTATATATCCAAAGGAAAAGAAATCAGTATATCAAAGAGGTATTTCCACTCCCATGTATGCTACAGCACTATTCGCAATAGCTAGGATATGGAATCAACCTAAATGTCCATCAACAGATGAATGGATAAAGAAAATATGATGTATATTTATACAATGGAATATTATTCAGCCATAAAAAAGAATGAAATTCTGTAATTTGTCGCAACATGGATAGAACTGAAGGCCACACTGCCATATTAAAAGATTTTTATCCCAACAATATATTAATATGATAAATTTCCTCAAAATGATCTCTACTACAATTGGTTAGAATAATATTTATTAGTAAGAGTGAAAATGAACATAAGTAAGAATGAAAATACATTTGGTTGACAGGCCTCCTGTGAAATGAGAATTTAAAAGTATTTTATATGGAATCAAAACTCTCTGATTCAGAATTAAAAATGAAATCTGTCAATTCAATCACTTATCTTTTCTTGATTTAATGTAATAATAAAAATGAATATAGTTCTATATAACATCAAAACCTTTATTCTCTACAGAAGCCATGATAGGGTAGATTTATCTAAAAAGATGTAATCCTTGGGTAAAAGAGAGGGATGAACATGAGTTTCCATAATGAAATTGAGTGGTGCCATGGGTCTTAGTATTCTAACTTATCTCAAGTGTTACTGCTTCTTCTTCTTTGTTTCTTTTCTAAATTGGAAGCATTGGTGGCTTATGAGAAATTCTTTTTCCTAAATAAATTGGTATCTGTATTTCCACAATTTTGTGGGGAGGGAGGAGGACTAAAATTGTTAGACTTACCAGTAGTCATCGCCAGCCATACATTTCTCATAAACAGGGCCCTCCAGCTCTTTTGCATCTGGGAAAATAGTCTCATGGTGGACAATGATGGTTTTGACAATTTCATTCACGTGAGCCTGGCAAGACACTTGATCCTGTATTTCTGGGACGGGCATCAATGTTGGGCCAAAGCAAATGGCCAGGTTATAGGGGTCCATCATGTTCTCATCACTGTACTGTGAAAGACTATACAGGGAAGCAAGAAATGAATTATAAAAAACACGGGGGAAACAGAAAATAGATGTTTAATAAGATACCTCATATTCTGAAAATGGGGATCTAAAATATCATATTTGGCTTTTATTATTATTAATAGAATAAAATGATATCCCATCCTATTTAGGGAACTCCAAAGATAGTACAATGACTTATGACCTGCAACTATTTAGGAGCTGAGGGGAATATAAGTAATACTTGTTTAAGTAAGTGGCATTTTTCAAAGTCACGAGGGAGTTTAATATAATATCCTCTACAATGGAGACCAGGGTCGAGTGAGTGAGTTTCATTTGTAAACCTTATGGTCAGGCTCTAAACGCTGCTCAAGCAAATTTGGGAGAGACAGTAACGTAAAGCTTTATGAATGTCTTTAAAATTGTCTTCCCACTACTCAAAAATATCTCAGATTTTAGTTTTATCCTATAAATCTGGAAGAAAGCCTAGAAGAAAACAAAGTACCTTTTCTTTGTAAGTATTCAAAGGAAGTAAGTAACAACTCCAGGCTTTATAATCTACTTTTGGGTAAAACTACCAACACGAGGTGACAACCGGTGTCTCAAAGGACATCATATGTGCAAGAGAAGGGGAAAAGAATCTTTAATTCTCTTAATTCCATCTTAGGCTGGCAACCTTTGGGAGAGATTTCCAGTTGTCTAGTACTAATTTCTAAATTCAATCCAATGGATATTTGTGAAATATCTTCACAGGTGACTCAAAATAAACCAGCTCTTTATTGCTATGCCTCTAACACAAGGGCAAGTTGCTGTTCTTGGGAGAGTTTAGAGACATTATCTTTCAGTGTATAGAATGTCAATCTTGAAAGGAAATGTAAAATCCAGGTGAACAGATGACAAATGGAAGGAGAAAAAGGAGACTCAACTACCTTTGTGAGATGATGACAGATACAAAGAACCTGAGCTATCACATGACATACTTTACCCCTTTTTCAGAAATAAGATAGTCTAGAAAGTAGAAAATACAAAAGCATAATTTTCGTAGCTAACATATGTCCTTCCCTTCTGCCATTTCTCAAACATACAATCTTAAAAAAAAGTTCACAATAACAGCAAATGATCATGTTACGGATCATCCTGAAAGTGAACTCATCTTGAAAATGGAGATTCAGAATAAGAACGATCTAATTTTCAAAAGACACACTTCAGCTCAGTGGGGAGAGTCACAGTTAATCTTTCTGGATCTTTAATTCAGTGCTGGCTTGAAAAGCAAAAAATGTTATTTTAAAGTTTTGATTTTACAATAAAAAACAATAGCTAATCTTTCTTTCCCAAATCCCTGTCCCAGGCATCCTGCCCTAGAGGCTGGGCCCTTGCGTCTGCATGAAGGCAGATGCGGGCAGCTAGGGGGCATCCACTAGAAGTAATGCCAGCTGTCTGACCCATGGTGCATCTGCCATTCTGTTGAGGTGCATGTTGAGTTAGATTCAGGGGTTGAGAACTTTCTTAATTAACAGACTGCTTCCCTAGTCCATTATGGTTTATTGGTTCACAATGGGTTTTGCTCAGGTGTGTCAAGAAAATTTGGTAGGAACAGCACGGAGAGGCCCAGTGGGAATGCAAGGTACACCATCGTAGTGGGGTTCGGACAAAGGCAAGCCTCTGAATTTTTACCACTGCCTGGGTGACCGGGTTTATTTAAAGGTAAAAACGTACAGCATCTAACCTAAACACAGTTTAAACCCATCTCTCTAGATACCACTTATTTCCAGTGTTGATTTCTGTGCACATGGGTTCCCACTGTCATTTGTGAATGTTTTGGGCACTTCAGGGTCAGCAGTAGAGTCCCATTCTATATGGTTCCCCCCCAGCATTTTCCTACTGTATGATGCTTGGCTCCTGGGGTCAACCTGAGAGGGTATGATTTCAGGACTAGTCAGAGGGATTGTAATAAATCTCCATGGCTTTTGAGAACTCAGAACGTTCCGTGAAATAGAGAAGAGAAAATATCCCAACTTCATAAAGGGAGGATCCACGCGAGGATGAGAAGGCTTTGCCCCAGGCTTATTCAATAAGTTGACCCCCTCCCCTCATCTCTTTATTTCCAACTGCTTAACTGAAATGTTGAACAGTGAGGGGACTCTTAGATAGAACTTGGGGAAGATGTTCTTATAATGGAGCCCATATATCAGGAAGTAACATAACTGAAAATCCATTTGCCTAAATTAAAAGAGTAAAGTTTCTTTGAAAATAATGAGATTTTTAAGATTTCTGTTACATTGTTTAAGAGAACATTTTAGAATTATTTTCTTCTTGACAAAGTCTCATTACGGTGAATTTGTAGGAGTTGTTTTTTGGATCTGTGTATACGTTTCACCTGTGATTTCTCTCCATTCCTGACTATGACATTAAAAATCACAGACATTTTCTGCACTGAGCAGCTGGTTTACATCATTTTGACAAAAAAATTCATGACATTCATTCTGGATGGAAGTTGGAAAAACACATATTTCACCGAAAAGTATTATTTTTAGTAGTATTTGAATATTTTTGCTTTTATGGCCACAATTTCTGCATCTGGGGTAGAGCTTTCATCTATCATACAATGACCTTGAGCTGCTGAGGAAAAATGTATCTTCAGTCTATATTCAATCTTTTTCTCTTGAACTCCATTGATAAATGGAAACCAATGTACATTGTACAGGATCCAAGAACAAGGAATTCGGATGCAGAGCATTCGAGTACTTACTGATTGAGGAAGGCAAAGAGGTACCTCATCACGATAAGGACCGACCTGGGCAAGGTTAGGAGGAGTTTGCGGATGTGCAGCGCCCTCTCATAGAGATTATCTATTCCTACAGACAGAAGATGACATGGTCAGGGGCCTTTCACGTGCCACACTTACAGCAGAACATTGCAGTGCACATATTACAGGTACACATCTGAACATAAACAACACCTTGCTCTTGGGTGACACGTAATTGTAACCAACACAGTGAATAAGTGATTGGCTTGGGTGTACCACTCTGACCCTCACTGTTTTCTCTGATTTTCATGGTATTGGTCTTGGCTTTGAGTAATTTAGAGTCTTCTAGATTAAAAAATCATTTTTCCCTTGCTGCTTATTCTAAAATTTGCATCTGATATGGTTTCAACTCCTTTTTGCTCCATGTTAACAAAAGTAGAATTCTGGGACACAGCACCCCTCCTCCAACCATTATGCAATGACTCATCGTATACTTATTTGTTCATTCTATCATCCGGGGAATGTCTCATGTTTTGAATCTCTCTTTTCTCAAAACTACCATAGCATTTTAGTTATATGATTTTTTTTCCACCTTGTATTCTATTATTTCATTAACTTTTAAACAAATACCTTAGGACTGGGGTTCAAGCACTGAGTTAAGCATTAGGAATACACAGTGATATGATTTCCTCCCTCACAAAACGTACACTCTGTTGTTTATAGTTATTTATTTCCTTATCCTGTCTTCCCTGTGGGATGGTGAGCTTCCTGATGAGAGGAGTACCTGCGACTTCCTAACATTATTTTACCTCTTTACTAGGAATATAAATTGTCCGAAATGTCTCAATACTAAAGTGCTTGTAAACAAGAACAAAAAGGTTACTACTTTTACCCATACTTTTACGATTATTTGCATAATCGTATATATATTTTACAACACATTTTCCCATTTGTTATCTAACTTTATGGGAATAACAACACTGTGGAGTAGGTAGGGTGCACACTGCCATCCCCATTTAACAGATTAGGAGGATGAGACCTGGGTAAGTGGCCTACCCAAGGTCAACTGGCTAGAAGGGGTATAGCCGAGACTAGAACCTATGTTTTCCATTTCACAGGTCCGGTTGTCCTTCTTGGATCTCAAAGTACGTTTATAAAGTACATCTTTGAAGACACCCAAGAAGCATACATTTGAGAAAATATTTTTTAAAAAAAGAGTTTGAAAACATTTTTGAAGTTTCCTATAGTTTCATATCATTGTATTTGTTCTTAATTGCTCTTGATATAGTCATGCATCCTACTTGAAAATTCTCAGTCCTTAGCTTCTGACACCATAGTCAATTAATTCTCCTTAATTTTTTTTTTTTATCTTCTCCCACCCACAAATGTGGATATCTCTCAAAAATTTCTGCCTGGTTCTCTTCAGTGACAACCTCATCCAGTTTCAAGGTTATGAACATCACTTCTAAGATGGTATCTCTGCTTCACTTTTCTCCCTTATATAGGAGAGAAGTCCTGTTTCTATCTCTGGATATCTCATGGATAATTTCCTAATTGAAGTCTTCTATTATTTCTAAGTTGGAACATCGTAATACTCTTCTAACTCAGTTTCCCTTTCCAATTCCTCTTAAACCAGTGGTTCTTTACTTCGACTTGGATTCACTTGGGGAGACTAAAAACGCAGATGCCTTTTTTGCAGCCAAGGTTGATAACCACTGCCTTAATTACTCACTTCCCTGGAATCTTGAGTGCTAACCCCAGCTGCTTTCCACCTATTATCAAACTGGGCATTTTATTTTTCCCTCTGCACAGCTGAAAAGGTGTGAAAAATGTATTAGGAATATTTCTAACCACAAATGAGTTTGCAAAACAACCAATAATTTATCAGGATTCCTGGGAAAACATACTTCCATCCCTGCCTTGAAGTATGCTACAGTTGGAACTCTGGTTCTGTCATCATTTAGAAAATGCAATTTCAGAAACTCTTTAACCAGAATACAAGTAAAACGTTATCATGCAATTAACATTCCTATAAAATTTTTATTCTTTCAATGTAAACATATAATTAATAATAGTGTGAAACAGTGTGATGTTAGCAATATTGAAGTGGATATACTATATTCTGCCTTTTTATTTGTAAAGTGTTTCAAAATGAAAAAAATATAACACTACAAACAAGACAGGTTAGGGTCACATCTATTGAGTACAAGTACTTTGTTTAATACATTCTAGGCAACGGTCTTGATTTTTTTCTTAAAGAGGAAGATGCTTTTTTAATTTTTTTAAAAAGTTATTAAACAGGTTCATAAATTCACTGAGGCCACAAGAACTCAAAAATTAACTTATCAACATTTAAACCCAATTCAGTCCCAGAGTCCCAGTAGGATCAAAATATGTCCCAGAGTAAGCTGTTTATCTTCCACGACAACTTCGTGTGACACTTGGGAACCCACTTTGTACAGAGAGGAAAGATGAAATACCTACAGATGAAATGATTTTCAAGTCATTGAGAATTTAATGAGCAGGATTTCGTATCTATAAATACTATATATTTATAACAGCTGGATTATTATGTCATATCAGAAATTCACTGGTTAAGTTTATTACCTGAAATAGCTGATTATTTTTTTTAAAGTATGATGTTGTTGTTACTTTCAGTTAAAGAGTAAAAAGATGATTTAGCACACCTGTACCTAGAAAGTCTATCTCTAAAAATGAAAATTTAAAAAAACCCTCAAAGGTAAAATTAAACATATTATGATCCATTCTTCAAACAACAACAAAAAATTTCTGCCATTATTTATTAAGGATCTTGGATGTTTCAAGAGTTAGGTCTCCTGATTCTCCAAGCTAATCCTCACTTTAAAGTTAAAATCAATTATTAGGGACAGGATTTTAGCAATTTAAAGCTAGTTTTGGGGTCCTAGAGTTAAAAACAAAAGTAAAGGGAAGGAAAAGATGTAAAAGGAACCACTCTTACTGCCTTATTGACAAATCACTCTAGAGGCTAGAAGAAGAAGACATAGGCATTACTTCCAAGAGGTTTAATCTTAATCCAAGATCCTCTTGTTTCTATTTCATAGTTCTAAACACGCTCCCTCTACCTCTTAAAGGTAGTTTCAAATTTTTATTTAAAAATAATTGGGAAACAGATATTTGTACACCAATTTCATAGCAGCATTATTCATAACAGCCGAAAGGTGGAAACAACCTAAACGTCCACTGACAGATGAGTGGATAGTGTATATGTAGTATATACATACAGTGAAATATTATTCAGCCTTGAAAAGAAAGAAAATTCTGACACATGCTATGGCACGGATGAACTTTGAAGATACTGTGCCGAGAAATAAGCCAGACACAAAAAGACAAATAGCGTAATGATTCTACTTATGCGAAGTACGTAGAAAAAGCAAATTCACAGATAGAAAGTAGAATAGACGTTGCTGTGGCCGAAAGGCGACAGGGAGATGGGGAGTTACTGTTTGATGGGTACAGAGTTTCTGTTTGGGAAGATGAAAAAGTCCTGGAAATGGATAGTGGTAATGGTTGCCTAACACTGTGAATGTACTTAATACCACTGAACTGAATACTTAAAAATGGTTACAATGGTAAATTTTATGTCATTTATATCTTACCCCCCCACACACACATACACACAAAAAGAATGAGGGGGCCTGTGGGATGCAAATGAAAAAATTTTAGGAGAGAAAAGCAAAAGGAATAGAAAAGTGATACCAAAAGACTAGATAAAATTATGTGAGGCAGACATATGTTCTCACCAACTGTAGTAAACATAAATCAAAGCAAAACAGAATTGCTGGTGTTCCTCAAGTAGCAGCAAGTCTCTCTGTCTCAAAGGCCTCAAAGACCATGATGGCTGCGAGCAGGACTCAGAATTTTACCTGGTTGGCCACTCAACAGGCTTGCAGAGTGCATCCTGCAGGAGCTTTGCTCTGGGACAAATGACTCATTTACTCTCCTGAGTCCAGTTAGCGGGTCGAAATTTATGGTTGCTACTGACACTCTGATTAATGTGCATTCCTAGCTGGCTCCGAGTGTGGCAATTCATGGTCTTTCACAATTTTATGCTGGATGAGAAGATGGATCTTTTCTTCCTCTCAGAAAAGTTGTCAGGGAGGAAAACCAGTATTTCATTTGGATTTCTTTTAAGCTGTGCTTTGTTTCCACAATTCAAGAGCTCACGTAATTAGGTAAAAGTGGCATTCATCCAATCTTGATCACATGCTCAAAGCTCCCTAGGCTAATTTATGTTCTTTTCTCAGCAAGGCAAGGCTCTCGTGTTAGTGTCCCAGCTTCCCAGCATGGGGGTTTGACAGCTCCATGTAAATGTATGTGAAAAATTCACCCACAAAAACACAAGTTACTTCAGAAAATACCAAAAAGTTCAAATGACCATTACTCTGAAAATCCCAGTTCTTCTGTGGCTCTATTTGCAAAAGTATTTGTTTGCCAGAAAACAAATAATAAATCACAAGATGCAAATTTATCCTTAGCTATGAAGACAAGGAAGGAAATTCCTTGTGGCCACATTTAGAAACTGTTTATTTAACAGCGGGCACACCAATATGTCTGAGCTCCATAGCCCAAAGATGAGCATTCAAGGTGAATGTACCAGTTCTAGGGCATTTCTAGGTTCACTTTAACAATACCATGGTGTTAATTGTGAGCGTGATAGCGTATGTGCATGAATGAAAGGGAAAGAGAAAAACTGAGGGATGTTCTAGTACATTTGGATGGATCTTAGCCTATCCTTGAGATGAATTACGAGTTGCTCTCCTAAGTAAAAACTGAAATGCTTGGAAATCTCTGTAATTAACTGTACATAGACTGACTTCTGTGAATTAAACCGTTCCTTTCTCTCCTTATTAAATAACAGCACTATAGAAATAAATACATAAATGTTTCTTCTTCTACTGAATTATCATATTAAGGTTGGTAAAGAAACTGTGTCTTAGCCTGTAGAACTTTTACCTATTCAGTTCAGACACTCAGTCTATTAAATATTTTTAAGGATAAAATAAATTGTAAGAACATTATTATAAGGCATTAAAGAGGAATTTAGAGTTAAGAGAGAAAACCACCATG